ATCTCCCCATGTATGTGTGCGCAGGAGGGACCTTTCTTCCATGTGTGCGGTCCCTCCTCCCTCTCTCACATGTGTGATGTGTGATGGATGTCTGGTCAGTCCAGATCAGATCAGATCTTCTCTTTAAGTCTTCCACTGCGCCATTTTGTGCCGTCTTGTATGTATGCGGAATGTACATTGCTTGATGATGCTACGCTGACCTTGCATTGTCCATTTCAGTCCTTTTCATCACATCGCGGATCCTTGGCTCCCTGCGCATTGTCCCACTGGACATGCGTCAACAACCACAACGGTTCTCTCCCCCTGATGACACGTCAGCAATGCTTTCACCGGCCAGACAATGCTCTCACCAGTATGCCACGTAGGCAATGCTCTCGTCCGGCAATATATCCCGTCAGCAAAGCTCTCGAGTCAATATGCCACGTCGGCAGTGCTCTCGCCAGTCCATATGCCATGTCAGCGCTTGTTCAGTCGTCCTCTTCAGCACTCTTCAATTAATGAAGCATTTACAGGCGATTTATTCCCTCGCGGGAACCAACCAGCAAATGCCACGTCCACCAGGCAAATGGTGAAAACCACTCTGCCGTTGCCACGTCAGCACCCCTTTCAGAGAGAGACTTCCTGACGATTTTTCCCCTTGCGGGAACCAGACAGCGAATGCCACGTGGACACAAGCATATGGTTAAAACCACTTCGCAGGTGCCACGTTAGCACTCTATCAAAGAGAGAACATAAAACTTGAATAGCGTGGTCGTCTTCAATCGCGCAGCTAATCGGCGAGATGAGGCGAATTCGCTCTGATACCAAATTGTAATGAGCCGTCTCGTCGGTCAAACATGTCATCAGCTAACAATGTTGTGCAATGTCGTAATCATTCCAGCAAGTCCATCAACTCAAAGTCATTGAAGTACATGATCCCTCATTACTACGTGTAAAGTCTCCAAGTCAAAAGTATCCAGATTAGAAAAGAAAGGGGGGAAGAAGAGAGATGGAAGAGAGAAGAATATTGTAGCAACCAATTCCCTCTTCTCCTCCAGGCTTCCCCACCTCTACCATGTCAGCAATCTGTACGCAGTATGAAACGTGGATGATGTAAATGCAGCCTCTCGCAGATGAGCGATCCTTCAGCAGCGAACAGAATCAACAGCAGCATCACACCAGGTGAGACCAGGTACGTGGGCATGACCTCACACCTCGCCCACACCCTCTCTGTTACATGCTGAGAGCCTCCACACCTGTCTCTTATACACATCTAGATGTGTATAAGAGACAACACGGGCCCCTCACGGGACCCGAGGTTGGATAAGGGCCCCCAGGTCGCGTCACTGCAAGCTGGAGGCCCTACGG